CGTCAGGGCCGATCTCTTCATCGGCGAGGCCATCCGCGTCCAGGGACCGGGAGACCGACGGTTCCCCAGGGATCGGGCCGATCCTCGCGGCTTAATCGGGAAATAAGACCGAGAGAAGCGGGGAAAATAAAAAAGGATCGGCGTCCGCCCTGTCGTCCCGATTCGGGGGTTATGTACGAGCCCGATTAGCTGGTCCGGCAAACACGGACTCGCGCACCGGGTTCCTCTCCGGCTCGCCAAGAACGATCGTTTTCGAGTGATTTACGTCGTCCGGCCCTCCGGGCAGTGCCCACTGCGTTCTCGTACGCGTTTGCGTTTACGAGGGGCCCGTATACCGCAATTAGGCCGTGATTGGGCCCCGATACGTCCGAGATTGTCTCGTCGGCATCGAAGAGCTCATGCGCCGTCAGGCCCAGGGTCGAAGAGCGTCCCAGGATAATTCCCAAAACTCACAAAATTCTATCGACCCCCGACAACGAAGTCCACTCGAGTACCTTCTTACATCGAGACCAAAAAAAAAGAAAAATTCATTGAACCAAAGAAAAACCTCGTTATTGCAAAGAATGATCGCTCGACCGAGATACACTCAAATAAGTTGTCTCAATCTTGAAAGGAACTTTGCATCCAATTCATTCCAGGGAAATAATTATCCTTTGAATTAGAGGAATATTTCTTTGGTAGTAGTCAAACAGTTCTATGGTTCGATGACCATTTTTTTTCTACAGGGTACAGAGAGGTCGATTTACGGGGACTTGATTTTTCGAAGGGACTCTCGAATCTCGCGGGACGTTTACCTCCGAAGACGGCGCCTCGTTAGCCCCCGAAATTCCGCCGATTCTTACAGGGCGCCGAATTAAATTCTAATTACTGGCGAATTCCAGCCGTGGCAATGCTCGGTCTCCGCTTTGCCGTCCGTCCTCTTTTAACTCGAGCGTCTCGACGCGCGTGTGCGTGCGTGCATTCCCGCGCGTTCGATCTTAAAATCGATCCTCTCGATCGAGCCGATGGGACCGATCGGCCGCTTTAATCGAGCCCCTCCTTCCGCGCGTCCCTCGGCCCTCGGCAAGCTTTTGCAGTGCACTTGCGAAGCCGAATCGATTCGCGAAGCTCACCCCGAGAGTGTTTCCCGAAACGGAAAGACCCTCGGTATATGTGCCTGCGTATTTACGCGCCGAGTGCGTGGGCGAGCTTACGCAAAACCCGGCCGTGAGCCAGTAAACGCCGGAGGTGCGTTTTTCGCTTATATTCGGCCGCATTTGCTCCGCTACACCGATTCATTATTATTCCGTTTGATTATTCATCCCGGATATTTCGAGGAAATAATCCATCAATTTTATCGATACAGTGTAAAAAGGGGAAACATCAAACGTCAGTCACGCCCGATATATTGGCATCCGTTTAATTATTACCCCGGAATATTTCATAAATTTAGTAGAATTATTACAAGAAAAAAAATAAATAAAACACGTCAAATGTTAATAGTCACGCACACGACCGTCGCTCTTCGAGTGTTTCCCTCCGGGCTCATCGATTCGCACCCCTCGACGCGCATCCGTTGACACAACGTTCGTGCACGTCGTTACACAGGAGGGCTTGTCCGACATGTTGTACGATGTATTATTATCGTCGGAATTCCGTATTCCAGGGTTATGACGAAAAGGTCGATACTTCTTGGCAACGGGAAAAAAAAAATGGAATTAAGCAGTGCCGATTACTCAGTAGTCATTAATTAGTCTCTGGAACTTTTTGACGTTTCTTCGACTCTGTGATCGTTTGACATTAGTGTCATAATATTGGGGTGTGATGGGGTGTTCTTAAAAAAAAAAAGAAAAAAAAATCGACGGTTCGAGGCTGGCAAGGGTGTCCGAAAGGGCGAGTTTTCCCGAGGCGCGTCGCGACGCCGACGAGGAGGGTGCGTGCACGCGTGAACACGGAACGCGAAACGAGCTCACCCCTTTCCGCAGCCGCCTCCCTTTTTGAAGTCCGCAGCGGAGAAGGTGGAAGTTCGACGGAGGGGTTGCTACCTCCGGCATCCCCGTCGTTATTACTTCACGTCCGATCGTCGCGAGCGGATTTACTTTAATGGCCCGCCCTCTTTCCCCTCCCCCCCGATACGGGGGTGCATTATGGCCCAAGTGCGCGTTACGTGGGAATTATTTGGCCTCGCCGAAATAAAGGGCCAAGCGAGCAATTATTGCCGTGAAAAGTTCCACAGAAGAGGGCGCCCCCCTTGCGAAACGCTGCCGAGTGCTCCCCGGTGTAATTGGGAAACCCTCGCGACTCGCTCGTTATGGGGCCCCATAAACGGCGGGAAAAGAAATCGGGGGTTGCCCCCTTTTCTTCGAGGGGGTTCGACTTTTCTGACGTGGGGAAGGTGGGGAAGTCATTTGGCTAATCAGCGATCTCGAGCGCCTATGGATGGTGTCATGGTATGATATCATGGTATCATGGTATCATGGCATCATGGCGTCATGGTATCATGGCGGATCGGAATTTTCATTGATAACGCGACCGCCACGTGGGTGGATCCATGGGTTCCGCATTTACATATAGATGCGATTCGCGATGCGACCCTCCGTTCGCGCGGTAAGGCCCAAGCCGGAAGGAGGAGAAAGGAGCAAGGAGGAGAAAGAGGGCTTTTTATGGTCGGGCCCGGTCGCCGTTATACGAGGGGCCCGAGGAAGCTGCGAATTTCTGCGCTGCGGTCGCGACAGTCGCCGATAATGGCGAGGGCCCTCGGGCCTTGGCGTGCACCTGACGTCGGAGTCGTTGAAGTCGTTGAAGTCGTTAAAGTCGACGTCGCTCGCTCGCAAATCCCTCAAGGCGTTAGGGCCTTAAGGCCCGGCGAAACTCGTTCGCCATTGCGCCCTCCTCCGTCGTTTTCTAGAATCCTGGGACTCTCGGAGGTAACTCTTCCCCCTTATCCGGGCCTTCGGGAATGGTGAGAAATTTCCCCGCGCGTTTTGTTCGCGTATCGAACGCGATATCGAGGGTCCGCGCGAAACGCCGCGGCGGTGACATTTTTCCGCGCGGCCGTAACGGCCATGCCGGGCCGCAAGCGGGCAATAATTCCTACCGAATTCCCGGGAACTTTATTGCCGGCGGGGTGCGGAATTCCCGCACATCCCTCGTGTGCGGGTGTTCTTCGAGAGCGGGGGTGTACGCACGTGCGTATACGAATGTGGAAGCGAGAATAGAACACACCCAGAAAAAAAACGTGAAGTGGGAAAGTGATAAATTAAAAGACGTATAAATACACATAACATGTTCACCGTAATCGGGAATTTTTACTTCAATTAATATGCGACGTTACGTTATCATTTTCATTGGCTTAACTTAGATGCTGAATGTGATACTGCAGAGACAATGCAAATTTACTGGAATCTATTGTGCCATCGGAATAACCAATGAACGAGTAAATTTGCATGGGCATTTTTATCAGTGCACATCGAACCACGAGGTCGCGATAAGTCGTTTCCCCGATTTACTGGCAAGCCTTAGTCTTGAGAGTACTTCTGGAGAGTGGACGTCCGTCTTGTCGGACGGCGGGCGCGAAAGTGCGGCAATTAACGTTTCCCCCTCGTTCCTTCTTTTTTTTTCCCCGCAGCTGCCGGGAAATCGGCGCTTCTCGACATTGTCCCCGAAAATGACGGAGACCCCGGCAGGTGCATCTCGCGGGAACCGCGAAATAATTCCGCATCTCGGCCGCTGCGTGCCATTAAATATCCGCACCTCTCCCGGGGGCATTAACGCGCGCCTCCGCATCTGGCCCTCGGCAGAGGGCAGCGTAAACGTAAACGTAAACCTAAATCCACGGAGGGTGGTTTTAATTAAGCCATTAGGGGAGGCTGAGAGGCTCCGACGAGATGCGGCTAGACGTCCCTTCTCGTCGCTCTCTTGTAAATTAATATCGCCCTTTAAATCCGGCCACGTGGCTCCGCGATCATACCTCAGCAGAAATGTAACGAGGTTACATTGAATTCCAGAAAGGGGGATAAGAATTTTTCTCGCCGCACTTTCTCGAGAAATATTCATGAAATCAAATTCTGAGCTACAGTTATTAATGTTTGCCCTCCTCCCTGGGTTTTTCTGCATTTTATAAACCGATATGTAATTACAGGCGCATTAAGGTGGAGGTTAGTGACCGATGTCTCGGGCCCTTCTTGAATCTCAGTTGAAGACTCGTTACCGGGGCGCTGATTTAATGGCTTTTAAGGGACCGAAAGCTGGCCCCATGGCGCCCCTTTAGTTATGGACAATGGGAAGTATAATTCAGTTATTAACGACCCGCGACCCGCGGCCGATATTCGCGTTCACTTACGGCTCTCGTTCGGCTGATTAAGCGGCAAGCTTTCACCGTTTAATGGCCGCCATATTTTATACGCCAGGTATGAATATTCACACGGTGCCTTTCTAGGCCCCTTTCATATGTCGAGTAATTTGTACAATTTATATCTAATTACAGGACGGGATAAATCGAAAGGTGCAGGCGGGGTCTTGGGTACCCTCGGTAGCGCGATATCGCCCGATAGCTCTTATCAACTCGGAATAATTCTTCAGGGTATCGTCGTCGAAAGTCGTCCCTGGAACTGAAACTCGGAGATAGGGTAAATTCGGGACCCCCCTGGGACTTTATCACGAACAATGGCGACATTACGAACACAAAGGTGCGGCAGAGGAGGGGGGCGTTTATTAAGCTCGCCCTGGTACAAGATTAGGCAAGAACAAAGGGACGGCCTCGACTTACTGGCGGAGTAAATACAATTAAAGGAGAGCAGAGGTGCGTTACGGGAGGGATCGTGATAAAGCAAACCGTAAAGCGGAGTTTTCGGAAACGGATAACCCGAGGACTCGCGGGGGGCGCGGAAAGAGCGCGGAACTTACGCGAAATCTCGGAAGAAGTTGGGCAGGGTGCAAAGGCAAAGTCCCTGAAGAGGGTGACGAGGGGTGAGGTAAACGAGGGAGGAGGAAGACACTGCGCTAACTTTCTTTGGACTCACCGGTCCTGTCGTCGTATCCGCGCTCGTCGTCGTCGTCTTCGTGTTCCCCGCTGTCGTCGCCAGCGGTGCCCTGGGTCTGCACGACTTTCGGGATCTCTGTAACGAAATAAAAGGAAAACGTCACTCTGGATGAGAGGGCTCCTCCGCGGTGCCTCCGAAAGGTCTCCCGGAATTATTAGGTCGTTCCGGACGAACTCGCGAATTTTAATCGTATTAACGGAAATAGAAAAATTCCGCGCCGGAAGTCCTACATTATTATATTTTAATTCCTATTCCACTTTGAACGCCGACATTTGGCTCGACAGTGTTTCGATACTAATGCACGAAAATGAATATAAAAATTAAGTGGAAAAAAAAAAATGAATAAGTCGTTCGTTACGCGAATCCATGTATTAACCCGGGGGGTTGCGTGACCGTAGTTTCACTTGAGAATCTCTCTGCTTTGTATCGAATAATTTGAAATGTTGAGGGTGGAGGGCTGGAGGAATTTTGGAAATGTCTTCCGGGATTTTTTGACAGTTTCGGAGGAAGAGCGAGGAGGATATCGTGTCGAGGCTCTACGGGAAAAGTCGGGACCTGGAGTCCCTCGGGAGACCCCACCGAGCGGCCCGGTGAATTTCGGCTAATTGGACAGGGCCTCCGGTCGGTAATGCGCTTCGATCTATCGAACCTAACCGACGCCTTGTTCGTCGTATCGAGCGATCGATCAGCGACCGGACCCGGTGGCCCTTTTGCGCGAGACCTCGCCGGATTAGAAGTGCCCTCGAAATGGCGGCCATTTGACTCTCGGCGGGGCCTTATTATTTGAGAGGCGACGTCAAGGCGGCTCCGATTTTCAGTCGACTAGGGACGGTCATCTGATTGATTTCCTGAAATTAGAGAGGAATTCCACCTACCCGGGGCGCGCCGTGGAGGTCTCTTCAGGGTCCGACGATCCGTGCCCGAAAATGCATCCGGGATTCGGAAACAGTCTTATCGTTACCGAGCGAGTTAGTAAGCAGCGAGAGGTGGTTAGTAGGAAGAATTAGTGCTCCGGGGACGATTAGTCGGAAAGACCCTGAAGAGAGGTGACTTACTGATGCACGGTGCGATGTGCGATCTGCTCTGCTGGTACCCTCTCGCGCATCGGTTGCAAGTCGTCCCGGTCACTCCGTCTTTGCAAGGGCATTGGCCTGTACTTTGGTTGCATGTCTTTCCGGATGCACCGATCGGGTGGCAATCGCATGCTGTAACAGATCGACATGCGAAGGGGGATTAGTGTGAAGTGAGGAGTCGCGTGAGCGATTACGGGAATCGGGAGGCAAACAAAAAACGCAGATAAAAACGGAGTCGCACAGAGCGTGGGGGATGACAAATCAATCGAAGCTTAAGTGAAAGAAATTAATTTCTATTTATTTTTCATGACGCGCCGAGGCGCCGCGCTCTGTGCGACACTCCTTGGCGCGGGGGGTGAGTAAATTTGAAAATCGATTTCTTCGGCATTAATGGGCGAGTTTCCACGTTTCTCGCGTGGCAAACGAGGTTTGACGTTTCTGGCTAGAAAAAAAAGAAAGGGGGATGGAATTAGAGGGAGAGAATGGAATACGAGCGACTCGAGTTCGCTTCGCAGTCGCGACGCGTCCCGGCTCCTGCGGGAAACTTTTCCCCCGGGGTAGTTTCGGAAAATTACGGCGGCTCCTGCGGGAACTCCCGATCGGCCCTGTAATTTTATTAAACTTCCCGCGAAGAGTTTACTACGCGGGACGTGGGCTTTTAGACCACGCCATAAGGGGGCAGGTTGTCTGCCGGTGGAGTAATTCCGCGAGACCAGGGTGCCTCGGAAATTTAAATGGCCCCCTCGACCTTAATTTCCATGTTTCGTGTCCCCGTACAACTTTTTTCCAGAAAAAAAAAAAAAGAGAGCGAGGGATTTTATAAAAATTTACTGCCGAGAAATTGAATTAGCGCCGCAGCGTAGGTGCGGTGGAAAAAATGGCTGCGCAGCCGAAACCCGTCTGAAATAAAAATACGGGAAGAGGGTCCACTTCCTGTATTTTTATTTCACTATAAATTATAATAAATAACTGGGCGAATGGATTGGAATTAAAATTACGCAATTTGTCCGAACGATGGAAAATAAAAATCGGGCTCTCACGTTTCGTTTCGCTCGAGTGTCTTGACATGCTAAATTGCATCGCTCTAGCGAAAGGGCTGAAGGTAAGCCTTATCAGGGAATGCGAGGACGTCGCGATTCGACGCCTCGCTTATCCCCGGAGAAGTTTAGAATTCAAAGTGTTATTGTTTGCCATCTCACATGTCGCGTCGTATTTCATCCCTATCGCGCGTGCACATCGTGGCATGCGAGTACAAACGTTTGCAGGCCCGGAGTGCACGTGTGCACTTGATAAGTATGCACATATTTAGACGTACATAACGCGTGATGCAACGGGGGCGATACCGTAGACCTGCATTCCGCTTTCTTCCCAATTCCTGCGTTCGCGTATAAACGTAAAAATATGAAAAAAAAAAAAAAAATTCTCCCCATTTGTAGATCTTTCCCGAAAAAAATTAGGGAAGCTCTTCTAGGTCTGGGGGATTTTTTTTATCAGGGAATAATCGACTCGGGAACGCGAGATAGGGTTAAGGAGAGGACTGCATCGATGCGCCTCGGGTGTATCAATAATTTCGGCCGTCCACCTCGACTTTGACGAAGAGCCGACACTTCGATGATGCCGATCTTCCTCGTGAATGAAATTCGTTCCGCCGTGTAAGAGGAGACCCGCCAGCGGGTTTCTGGTCTTCGCCGGCAACGATATCCGCTGATAACATCGCGCCGAGATGTTATCAGGCCCTACGTTAAAAGCTTCCGATGTAGCTTTCAATGAATGCCCCCATCAATTTTAATAAATTGATCGGGGACGCATCGCCCGCTCGTTACAAATTTATTCAGAGAGCCCGCCACCGTTTCAAACCCATGTAACGTGTACTTTCCGAACGTTAAAAGTCTCCGGTTAAACGTGCGATTTAAAATCTAACGATTCAACGATTTAATGAATTAATAATTCAACGATACAATGATTTAACGTCACCGTTAAATTATCCCTGCATTTTTTATTAAGGATATTTTCGAGGCATCACGTCGGGCAGGCAGGAGAGGTTAGGTACACCGAGAAAAAAAAATGCAACGTTTATACGGAATTAAGACTTCTTAGAATTAAGAAATATTTATAAATGTTCAAAGAAATATTTCTTTCGTTCAATGAATTTCTTTTTCCCTAAGCGTGTATATGAAGTCTCTACGGACGGCCAACGAGGACGTAGAAAGTACCTGAAGAGCTACGCCGACGTGGCGAATCTAATCCCGCGCGTTCCCGCCCACGCGGAAGAGTGACACAAGCGGCGGAAATTATTTGGCCCGATGCGGAATCGTTCCTCGAGGAGGGAAAAATTGAGTCGCCATCCCACGCGAAATTGGATCTGGTCTTTCATGGCCATTTCGCGAGTCTTCGGCGTAACTTGGGATTCGGTGTTATGGGCCCTAAATCTCGCGAAACGATCGCGGGCCCATTACGGTGGGAAGGGGCCTTAATAAGATTTTATCCCGTCTTCTAATCGAGGCTCGCTATTCGCTCTTCCGTCCTGGATAATGGACCTCGAAGTCGATCCCGCGGACACCGGTTTGCGCAGCCCACGCGATTCGATGTTCCGCAAATGCGGCATATTGCTCGGAATTCGGGATCGCGAAGCAGCTCTTCGGGGTAAGAGATGTGGTGGTAGTAACTCGGGATTAGGCCCTGGGAATTACAGGACAGCCTCTTCAGGATCCGCGTTCCCTTATCAATTTCGCGTATCCTTCCTGAAGAGTACTCTTCATGTTCGGCGAGCGCGGGTGGAAGCCGAGAGTGGAGCTTTTTAGAGATTTCGAAAGCACCGTCTCTTATCGAGGCACCGATGGTGGTCGAGAGCCTCGTCCCACGCGAAATCGGGTCCAGGTTTTCCCGGGGATTTCGCAGCGGAATGGACGTAACTTAGGATTCGACGTCGAAGCCCCTTCCTCGTGGTCGCAGGTGTGTCGCAACGCAGGTCGCCTTAAGAGAGGGCCGAGCGAGGAGCGGCACAAGAGCCGCCTTGTCTCCGGCCCCTTCTTCGGGCACCTCCTTAGGTTCTTCTCCAGGTTTCCCGTCTCTTTCCCGGCACCGTTACCCGCGGCGTTGTTCCGTCCCCCCAGCTCCGTCGGATTCCACCGCGGAGACATTCTCACGCGGCCAGGAAAGCCGAAAATATAGCGGCACCTCCGCCACAGGTATTCCCCGCGTCCGTCGACGTAATTCCTCCAGGAGGGGAGCTCCTCTTCAATGACACCCGATCTCCCATAAAACACCTAGAGATCGGAGGGACTCCTTTTTTACAGGCGCGTGCGCAGGCCCAGGGACCATATATCCCCATGTAGGTTCATTTCCATGGTCGTTCCAAGGAAGAAAGAGGTCCCGAGGGACCTCGAGGACCCCGAAGACCAGATATATCATTCCGAGTTGCAGCAAACTTCTGAATCTTCCGGGAAAACAAGCCGACGGGCTCTTCAAACCGCGAACTCGATATTCAATCGATATTCCTAGTGGAGTACCGTGGAGTGATCAGGGAAGCTCTTCAGGGTCGGCCAGTTAATTCCGCCCTCCCGACACCCGATCCGCAATAAACTACCCCATAAACCCCGGCGGTCCGAAACTCCCCACCTCGGGTCCATCGACGACCCTGAAGAAGGCACATGGGAAGCGCGGGGCACCGTCGTAATTCACCTTTACGCCCGCAAAATGAGCGGCATACCGGCTTGTCACTTATTGCGGACTAATATAAACATGGCTCCGACCGGAACACCCACCGACGAGATACCCTTGGTACCCTAGGTACCCTAGGTACCCTCGCTCGTAAATCACCGTCACTTTGCGTTTTACCCCCGCACGTAAAGTCGGTATCTTAGGGTTTACTTCCCAGGGTCAGCTGGAGGTGTAATCGGAGATGCACCGAGAGGTGATAACCCGTCCCGGTATTATTGTGCACTATTACTCGGGTCTTGTTAGCGATAACAGAGAAAAATGATGCGAAAGATGCATGGGATAGAAATGATGGACATGGCCTTACTTCATTTTTTACCCAGGTCGCGGTTATCCCGATTGCGCTTTTTCTTTATCTCGCGACCATTCTTTCCTTTCTTTTACCGTGATTCACTTTTGGATATCGCATCTTGCGATCCTGTCTCCGGGATTTCCTTCTGCCCGAGGGACTCCAGGCTTCTTTAGGATCCTCCACCCGGGTCTGTCGCGCGACTCGGTGCAGCAGAGTGAGCCCCGAGTGCGCCGCGGTGCAGCGCAGCGTGGAGGCCCTTGGACCACGCGGCGGGCTCTGCGTTCCCGGTTTTCAGGTGGCCCTTGAGAAAGGCGACTCGCGGAAACGCTCTCGCGGATCTGGGAAAGCTTCGCAGCGAGGTAAAGCCTGCTTCTCTACGTGCTCGGTTATGCACCCGCGGGCATTTCCTCGGTAAAAAGAGCGGCTAATTACGATCGTCGCATTAAGTCGCGCTTAATCCGCGCTTAATCGCGCCGTTTCCTTTTTCCTCGTATTCCCCTCGTCCGTTTTACGTCCCGTCTCCGGGTTCCTTCCGCGTCCTCGCCTCGTCCTTTCTTCGGGGAGGTTCCTCGGTCCGGCTCGCTGATTTCGTCCCTTCTTGGGCTCTTCTGCGCGGAATTAAGCCGCCTTCCGGAAATCAGGCCGCGTGGGCCGACCGAGGTGTGTTCGCATTAGTTACGATTATCGTCGGATTCGAGGGAGATTTCGAGGCGCCCGTAAATTCGACTTAACCGGGAGAGAAAGCCGGGCGAGAACTCCCTCTCGGTGTATTTATTCGTACACGCGAAATTGTGAACGCGCCTTAAGCCGATTACGGGCCGAGGGTTAACCGTACCTCCGAGGCTTCCTCGGTCCCTCCCGGGCACTCCACCTGCGGATTTAAATCCACGGAGACGCGTCGACAGGTACCCTCTTTTCTGCGACTCCTAGATAACCTCTTTAACCACGCTAAACGTCCCGACTTTATGAATAACCACATACATATGCTGCACTTGAAAATGCCTCCGGGAATTTCAATAAAATTCCAATGGAAGTATTTTCATTAACATTTAAAAGTCCTTCGATGCAACATTTATTCGGAATGATGGCAATTCATTTGAGGCAATTAATTACTGTTTGAAAT